CCCCACCCCCCCCCCCGGGGGACCCCCCCCCCCCCCAGCAGCCACCTCAGCTCCCCCCATTTGGCAGGCGGCCAGGCCCCAAGCGCCACCATGTCCCCAAGCCGGGATGGGGACAGGACACGGACGCAGGGGACAGCTGGGCAGGGGGGCGCAGGAACTGCGGCCCCGTGAGCAAACAGGGCCCCGGCTGCTCCGCGGCGCTTTATGGCCCGGCCGCTTCCTCCGGAGGCAGCGGCCCCCCCATGTCCCCATCCCGGCCAGGATGTCCCTTATCAGCGCCGGGTCCGTCCCTGTTTGCTCTGCGGTGGCTCCTGATGTGTCAACCCACCCCTCTTGTGGCCTTAACCCATGTCCTGGAGAAGGGACCGGCCACCCCGCACCCTCCCCAGAACCAAGTTTGGCCAAATTAAAGGATTTCTCTTTTTCTCCCTAAATACAGTGTGTGGGGGGGTGGCAGTGGGAGGGGACATTGGTGGCCACAGGGTGGCCAGCGGAAGCCCCCCAAGCTCCCCCTTCAATACAGGGGGGTGCAACAGAAACCACCCTGCCCTTTGCTCCCCACCAGAGCCAAGCAAAACACCGACAACCCAAGAAAAAAAAACGAATAAATAGCTGTGATTATCGAAAATAAAAAAACCCGCCGCGCTCCCCCCCGGCCAGGGCCGCTCAGCCGTCCGTGGCGAGGATGACGACGGCGCCGAAGATGCCGACGCTCTGGCCGATGAGCTTCATCTGGTTCCAGAACTCGACGCGGCGGCTCTCGTGCCAGTAGGCGACGTTGCCGTCGATGAGCAGCGTGGCCAGCGGCTGCAGCACGGCCAGCACCTGCGCGGCCGCGCGCACGCAGCAGCCCGACAGGAAGGCCAGCGCCAGCAGCCCGTAGAGCACGAAGAGCAGCTGCAGGGTGAGCTCGCCGCCCAGCACGTGGTTCAGGTAGGCCACGCGGTCCTCCTTGCTGTGCTGCAGCGAGTACGCCTGGGGACGGCGCGCGCGTCACCTCCCTGTGCGTGTCACCTACCTGTGCGGCACCGCCCTGCACGCGTGTCACCTCCCTGTGCGTGTCATCTCCCTGCACGCGTCGCACCTCCCTGTG